CAGTATTCGAGTATTCGAGTATTGTGTGTCAGCGTTACCTTCGGCAGCTCTCTCGAGAGCTCCTCCTATATGTCGAATATGTATTAATAATCGACACAGCCCAACTTGAATCGTATCAACAATTTGTATCTCCAAGTGGCAAACATACTTCTTGTTTTTTTTTTTTACACATTAGGGCTTTGATTTTCTTTGTTCGATTTGAATGGATTTTATGGAGGGGAAAAAAAGAAAACTTTTTAGGACCTAACCAAACCAGTTTCTGGCTAAACTATAATTGAGTAATCACATTTGATATCGTTTTAAACTGGTTTTAAAACGTAGGCTCCTTTTTTATTGGGGTTTGATTTGTAAGAAATGTCTTTAAAGTACTGCCCATAAAACCCATTCAAGCCGAAAATTGTCATTAAGAATATTTTTCATCCCGGTTCAAGTTCGAGTAATATTTCAATCAAATTCGCGTCGCCGCTCCAAATTACAACATAATTTTCGAATATTTTTTTTTTTGCGCCTTTTACAATTTCCGCATTACAAATTAATTTGTACGAGTCCCGCTCCTCCCCTTTTTCCATTCCGCCCAACGCCCACCCGTCAAAATTTTGTGAAAAACGAAGGAAAATAAAATTCTCCTGCCAATGAACGGCCTGGAATATTAAAAAATTGAAATCTGTTTAATGTGTTTACTCGACCAGCTCGGGAAATGGGCAGGGGAAAATTTCATTAAAAGGGAAAGCCAGGGTCGAAGGATGCAGGAGTGGGAGTCGGAGGCAGCATGGTAAGGGAGGGGCTGGAAATTGTGGCGACTCATGGCGCAATCGTCAATTATGGCCAACAAGGAAAGCGGAAAAAATATTGTGTTCGATAATCAAACCGAAAATGTGCACAGCTTGAGTCAAAATAGAAGGCGAGTACACAACAGGAAGAAGGGCCCAGCCAACAAAAGGACCAGAAAACGTAGGCAGGACTTTTGAGCAGCAGGATATGCGTACATTTGCCTTCCCCTTTCGTTATATCCTTGTATATGTATTTTTTTTCTCTCCTTTCTCAGTTATTTTTATTTTTATTTTTTTTTGGCAATTTGCCACCCGCCGCACGCGTCGTTGCTGTCGACGTAGACATTGCCAGGCCCATAATTAAATTACACATATATTTTAGTTTTGTTGTGCGTGTGTGTGTGCTGCTGACTTGCTTTTCCAGGACACATTGTGTGTCCTGAGCCGCCCCCAACTTTTCACCCGCCATGACTTAGACATCCGCCGAAAACCCAACACCGAAAACTTGGCCGTGAAAGTGAAAAGAAATATGGCCCAGAGTGTGCCCAAATGTGAAATGTGTGTAATTCAGCCACAAATTTTGTTTATCGTATTTAAGTAATTACAATTTAATTTGCATAGGCCAGAAATGTCAGAAAGGGGTGTGTTGTCATATATTTTTGGTACACATTTGTTATAATATTTGTAATAACATTACTACCCAATTACCGCCTAAAAAATACCCCATGAAACTCTGTAATAAATTCGAAAGACTGGCCTTAAATTTTCCATTACTTTCTGCTTGGTCATTTCAGCAAATCGAATGAGTGTCCAATATTGAAAACCCTCCGAGTGGACCTCCAGTAAGCTCTTCAAATGGGTTGAAGGCAGCTGCCGACTGCCAAATGAGATGAAATCGAATCGCTGACGGCCCACTCGACCGCAGCTGGAAATGCGGATGATCATCATCATCCCGTCGAGAATGGTAGAAATGTGACCTTGAATCCTAACCCTGGCCGGGCAGGAGAGGCGGTTGTAGCGGCAGGACTCGGATTACGAATGCGCTGCGCGTGACTTCCAGTTAAGTCCTAATTATGTCAGTAACTCATACGAGATTGCAAAGGATTTCTGGCAAAGGGACCAACGAATGGAACAAGAGGGGGGGCAGTCGGGGTGAAATGTTGCTGCTGCTGCTGCGTGCCTGCCACGTTCGCCGCACGTCGATGACGCAATTTCCAAAAGATTTGCAACCGAAACACACACACACACATAGTAAAGGTGGCACAATGTCCTTCGTTGCAGGATGTGTTATATATGTAGGCTATGTACAAGTATATGCCATCGGGGGTTTGTGTGCCACCCATCCGAAAACCAACTGAAAATATCTGAAAACAACTGCGGAGGCAGCCGGCACTCGTCACTCACTCACTGCCCTAAACAGATTTTATACTGAAAAAAATTGGGGGTAAGAAAAAAGGGGATTTGGATTTTAAACTCTATATTAAATTCCAAGAGATGAGATGCTTCTTTATTATTTTTCAAAGAAAGACAAAGGGAAACATTAGAATAAATATTATTAAATACTAGACTTAAAATGTAATTCTAACTATTTCATTTATTTGATAAATATTTTCTTTACGTGTAGCTATTATAATGATGCGATTCCAGCGGGCGTCGGTGGGCGAACAACCCCCGTGTGCATAAAAAGTCCTTCAGCCATTCAGTCCTTTGCTTTCCATACCATTCCATTCATTCAATCTATCCATCCATCCTGGCAGGCCTGGGCCCGGTCGGCATTCAGTCAGTGAGTCAGTGGGAATCCTGCCAGCCTACTCACCCAGTTATGAGTGGAGTAGTGTCCTGCGTCTTTTGTGCCGCTTAGCAACAAGCGATAAATTTCATACTCCTTGCCAAAGCCCATACCATACCATAGGTAAAACCTAGTGGAGTGAAATGAAATAAAATTGGTGGTGGTGTTGTTATGCTCGATGCTCGGCTCTGTTCTGATCCTGAGATGCATCCCCCAAAAAAAAATCGTCAGTGTTTCAACCCCCGAGATACAAAAGTTGGATGATTCACGGCAGCGGTTGCAAATGCCATGGAAAATTCCACGCATCAAATGAATGAATATATATATGTACAGAGAAACCCTACCTTTACCTATGTAACTTATTCTGGTATTTAATTTTATCATTTGTATTTTTCCATCAACTAAAACCAAATCCTTAAAGTTGAAAAGTCCTTCAGAGACTTCCATTCCATATCACCAGGGAGCAGAACTTAAAAGCGAAAACGATTCACCTGCCAGTGTCCTTCGCATTTCAGACTGATTGTAATGAAATCCTTGAGGAGATGGCGCTGCGTGTCCTCACTCGAGCGGTTTCTGTTACCATAATCATCTTAATAATTTCACAACTCATGTCTTTATTACATTTTTCCACTGATCCCTCTGCGCCTTCCTGCCATCCTCCTCCCAGTCGCGCCGCCACCGACCGTCACCGCATTATAATTTTCCAGCTCTTGGTGGAATTTTTAATTTCAACAGAGCCAAAGTATCTTATGAAAGACGAAAGGAAGCAAGTAGGAGTTCTTCTACATAAAAAAAAAAATGGAAGAAAAACTTGTGAAATGAGAAAAAGTATGTTCATGCGTGTTCCCCGAGAAGCATTTTCATTCCCATTTCCCTGGTCCCTGGGCAGACACATTTCATCAAAGATTTTCCATCTCACGCATCCACTTGGCACGTCGTAATTTAATCCCTCGGTGCTTTCCATGAAAAATATGGCGGTAATAAACTGAGAAGGGAACCGAGAAGGGGAACCCTTCTCATCACAGGAGAAGGAAGGTCGGGAGCTCCCAGCAGGTGACCCATCAAGAATCGATGAATAAGTGAATGAGCAGACCGGCTTAGCTAATTTTGAGGAGGTCCTGCCTTCCTGCCATCCAGGCGTTAAGATCGAGTCGGTACAATGTAATTTCCCATAATCCTCGCAAAGACCAAAAATCAAGTCCTGAGGGCCTGCACTTTGATTGAAGTATTTTCTCAAAGGCCATTGTGCGGGGTAACTATGTATAGGGGAAGGATATTAAGGTCCTCTCGGATTCAGTTCATTCAGTTTTCAATGAAGCAGGGAAAGCAAATCTTTTCAAATTCACAACAAAGTCTTCCAATTCTGGGCTGAACTTGTAGTATTTATTTTTTGAAATCACCATCGTGCCCTCCTAATAATAAAACATATTTTTATTGTCAGGCTTATTTGTGTTTTTAAGATTCCAGATACCCTCTGTCGATACATCCACTAATCATTCCATCAATTCCCAAATACTTGTCGTTGCCTTTCGGTAAGTTCAAGTTATTTTAATATTCTCCTTGCCCTTCCCCCCATAAAGGAAATCATTTGGAACATATTTTAGCTGTCACATTTCTTCGGGATCTAAGCATTATAAATATATCCGAATGTTTCCCTAGCACGGATACGAGTCTTCTGGAGATTTAATTTTAGAACGGCCTTCCAGTCGAACTAAAAACAGGTTCCATTCTACACCCACACATCTAGGGATATATATATATTTTGGTATATGTGTTTCTTTATACAAATATGTGCACATGTGCCGCATTTGGCTGAAGCCGAACTAATTTTAGGGGCCCCTCCTCCATGTCCATGTCGAGGGAAACATTTGAAGGTCCAAGGCGAGGCGGTGCAGCTGCAACGGATCCGAAATTGGATGGCGTTACGACCCTTTTGTCTGATTTAGTGTCCACTTTCAAAGTGGCAACTTGGAAAGGGTTGAAACCAAAAAGATCCTACTTCTGCTACTACTGTTTCCCACGCACATTGTTTTCTTAATTATAATTATTTTAATGATTTCAAATTAGGTTTAAGCAGTTTCCACTATAAACGACCCATAAAAGATTCTCAAGTTCAATGACAATGTTTTTCACTTTCTTCCCATCAAAATAAATTCAATGCTGACTTGCCAATATTTCAAAAATAAAAAAAATACAAAAGCTTATACATAGTATGTTTTTGATGATCCAGCACTTTTATTTTACAGAGAGCTTCGTTAATATTTTATTTGAAATGTTTTAAAACACTCTTATCAGTTTAAAAACTATAATATTTACTTGAAATGTTGACATTTAAAAGTATGAAACTAAGCAGAGTTGCTTAGTGTTAAAATTTCTGGCATATAAAAATTTAAGATTTAGAAACCCTTTCTCAATCATGTTTTTTGTTATGGGCTGTCTGAGGTATAGTTTGCCTGGAAAGGGTATTCCCAGTTTCGCGACCATAGTCACCTAGTTTTTGCCGACCTCTCGGGTTAACCGCGCCTCCGAATCAGACTCATTCACTTAGGTAGACGATCGCTGCTGATAGCCAGCCAGCCGGCAGTCGCCTCCGAACTGCTCGCCGAGATGCATTGGATCCCCGTTCCGACCGTCAGCTCGGAGTTCCCTCGATCCAAGTACCAGCCCACTGTCACCTTCACCGAGGAGCAGACCGCATCAGGGCAGGATCAGGGGGAGCAGCGCATCGGACCACTGGTGGCCAATAAAACGGCCCAGCGGCAGTTCTTCTACGGCATCGAGATTTTGGCCACCAGCGCCAGCGGTAAGCCCATTGCCCTGGACTTCAACAACTTCCTGCCGGTGCTGCCATCCTTCGTCAGCGTCGTCTGGCTGGGCAGGCGCTATTGGAACGTGGAGCCGGTGAAGCAGGTTGAGAGCCTACAGCTGGCCGAGATCCTCGCCCCCCGGATACCCGTCTTGCCACACATCTCCGCCTATAGGCTGACCAAGAAGCGACTGGACGACTTCCTCAACCTGAACTTTAAAAGCTGTCTGGCCGTCAGAGGGGATCTGGTCCATCCGGGCCAGGACTTTCCCATCACCCAGCCCATTATCGAACTATCGCACTACAAGAAAGGAAGTAAGAACATTGTACAATACTTCATTTTGACAAAAAACTAATGCTTCAAAGCCTTCTTGATGAAATAATTTTTATTTTCAGAAAACTTCTCCATTTGCGTGGCGGGTTATCCTGAGGGATATACTAGCCTTGGTGGCGGTCCCCAAGATGGAAGAAAAAATATACAACACCTCAAAGAAAAGGTAAGGATTAACTAATAGTTTAGATTTTAAAAATTAAACATTAATTCTTGGAAGGTGGAGGCTGGAGCCGATTGCATCTTCACCCAACTGTGCTATCAACCAGAGCCTATCGTGAGATTTATTAAGGCCTGTCGGGAGGCGGGTATTAAGGTGCCCATTGTGGTCGGTCTGATGGTCCACGAGTCCATACGCACCTACGATGCGATACAAGACATGTCCGGAGTCCATATGCCGGAAGATTTGCGGGAGGAGCTCGAAGAGCTGCGGATGAATCGCGGAGGTTCTCCGGACTCGGATGCGATATCCAAGTTCTTTATCAAACTAACGGTTAACATAGTACGTCATATTCTGGAAGCCGATATCGGGATTTGGGGATTTCAGTTCTATACCATGAATAGCTTTCCACCTGTGTACGCGGCACTTCGAGAGTTTCAAAAAATGGGATTTTTCTAAAAATTAATTTTAAAATGTCTTCAAAATTTTCAGTTTAATAAATAATATTTTTTTATATTTTGTACAAAGTTAGGCTTATATTCCTGCCCAATCAATCATGTCCTGTCTTCGTTGAAAGTTAAATTTGGAGGATATCCGATTTGAACAAAAACAGAAAAACACCCAAAAAGAACCCCTTTTTCTTGACCATTGACGAAGGGCAGTCGAACAATAACAAATGATGTTTCTGACATGGCTAATGGCCATAGTTCGAGGTCTGCAGCTGGCCGAAAAGCGGACCGTGATGAATGGATCTTGCTAAGCCCTTACCCCCTTTTGCATAGAAGTATGTAGTAGTAGTACAGCCCATATATGCGAATGCTGCAGCTTTGGTGCGTCATCAACGTCAGTCAATGTCACAGGGCCTTCAAATCAGAGTCGAGCAAATGCGTAGATATTTTTGATGGTTTTCAGTTGGAATAATAGAACTGTTGCGTCACCGCCGCACCTTCCACCTTGTCCTGCCCCCGAAGGACCTTGCCAGGAGGGGTTGACGATGATGGGTGATGGGTGAGGTCCCCCGGCTCTTGCAAAGTCGAATGGAAAGGTCTTTTGACAAAAACAACATTTGACATTTGTAACTTGCGGTTGATCGGCCATGGAAAAAGGATAAGTGCCGCCTCCAGAGACTTAAAACGATCACTGAAAAAAATAAAATGTATTTAACTTGCAAAGATATACAAAAAATATTTCTATTCGAGGTTTTAAATGTATGTCTTTGTCTTTTATGTATGGAGTGGTAAGGTTCTTTTTTGAAAGACCTATCCCTTTTCTTCCTGTGCACTTCCTGAAAAGGGGTTACCCCCCACAAAACAACGCAGTTGTAGAAGGGGGGTCTAAAAGGTTTCACTGCCAACACTTCAAATCCCGGCGCCTGCTTCTTATTTTCGCTTATTTTTGCAGCTGTCGCTTGGGCCTGAAAAATGATGTGCGAATGCGAATTTCCTTCGTTTTTCTTTACGGTTTTGCTTCACTGGGTTGACAAAAAAGGGGGGAGTCGGGGTGCTGTGGCGGGCAGGAGGTAGTTTGAACTCCCCTTTGCAATTATTTATCGGCAATTAAGCCAAACAAATGACGCCGTTAGAAAGGACAATGCGCATATTGCGCATACGCCATGTACGCCCGACCCTCTTTTGGGCTTTAAATTTTAAACAGTTTGTGGAGTAAAGTTCGAGTGAGAAAATGATGTAAACTTTCCATAAATTGTTTAAATTTTACTTTAAAATTATTACCAATTAGCTTTTAGAGGCTCACAACTTGGAGCTGACCCACTCAGATAGAAATGTTTGTGGCAGATACAAATGTATCTGGGGAACACAATTCGATCAGAGTGAAATGCAATTGTGCGGCTCATTTGTTTTTCCTTCTTGGCCCCTTTTGTTTTGCCGTTTTTTTTTTTTTTTGGTTTCTTTCTTGATTTGCTATGCGTCGTTTAATTTTATTTCAAAACAAATAAGCGTAAAATGGGGAAATCTACGATAAATAAAACCAAAAAGCAAGCCTATAAATCGGTGTGTGCCAGTCCCCCTTCTATGTGTGTGTATGTTTGCAGCTATAGAAAAAGATCAGCCGCTCTTGCTGCCTCTGCCGCTGCCTCAGCCGACTGAAGCAGCGGCAGAGGCAATAAAAAAGTTTGCAAAAGAGGAGGAGGAGGCTAGCAAACGATCGAGTGAACAAAGAAGCAGAGTAAAACAGGGAAAAGAAAAAAGCTTAAAAAAATAAAAAGCAAACCCCAGAGTCACGTTCACGATTCGCTGCCGCAGCTGGCAGCGGCAGAGGCAGCGATCAGCTGACTCAGAGCAGCGAAAAACCAGCTGAGTGATCGCTCTCTTAACATTCTCTCTCAGATCTTAAGAGAAAACTGAGTGAGAGCACTGGAAAAAGAGTACTTCACGATCAAAGAGAGATATTGAGTGCAAAAAGACTCACTTAAGAGAAGGCACCCTTTAAAAAAGACTTCTCTTATAACTGATCGAGTAACAAAATATCACCCTTAAACTTAAATATATCTTGAGTACAAAAAGTCTCTCTTCAGAGATCACTCAAGAGCGCAGAACCTTTGAAGGATGAAATTTGTTTACCACAAACACTTTATAGATACATTTTAAAGATACAATTTGTAGATACATTTTTTTCAGCTGTAGCTTTGCTTGTTCTCCTGTTCTTTTTTTTGTCGTTTTCCGATGAAAACCCTGGCAGTATCTGACACTTGCATGTCGTATCTGTAATTTTAAAAATGACTTTTACAATTTTACAATTTTTGCTTAACAATGCAGTTGGTTTCAAATACCCATGGGATGTGATGTGGCATAGGCAACCAAAAAAAAATATGGTGACATATTGTAAAAAATTTGATTACATACTTTAGCATTCGCATTTTTTATGGGATTTTTACAGGAAACTCTAGTTTTTATGGCTGGGGAGCGAAATATTTGCATACCAATCATAAGTTTGTACTTCGAAATAAAATAAGGCTGAACTTTTATATCAATAATTTTTCCGTACTGCCACAGTTAACATGCAACTTTTACTGAAAAAAAAACTGTGACTTTTTATGCAAATTTGTGTAAGTTTGTATTTCGATTTGTGTATATATTTATATATAGTATATGTATATTAGCCACCTCACCGCAGAGGCATCGGCAGCCATGCTCTTGAACGGTTTTGCACTAACAGCAACAACAACAATAAAAACAAAAAAAAAGCAACAATCATGCCTAGATACTTGGCGACCTGCCCCACAGCAATTTGCATACGCCGTGTGTGCCACCACGTTCGTGTGCGTACACTCGCATTAAATTAACCCAGACACCCATCCAATGGGATATATACACACTATAGATATATACATACGTGGATGCAGATACATGAACCGTGCACATGCACAAAAGGCTAAATTGGCCAAAGCTCATGTGAAATTTACGCCAAATTGCAACAATTTTTTTGTTTTTTTAATTAAATGGCATCAGGACGAAAATAACAAAAGTGTCATTAATTCAAATGAAGAGTTTTGGTTCACAAACCTGACAGAGATATTATAAAGAAAATATCTTCAACTAGTTCCTGATTAATTCAAGTGTATAAACCAATCAAAATAGTTTTTATTAAAGCAGCTGCAGCAGAAATAAATGCATGTGTTAATGCTGAATCAAAGATATATGTAAGAAATGCTTAAAAAATTTTATGTTTGTACCCGGGCACTTGTCCGTTGTAGGAGTGATGCTGAGATTCTGGATTGGAATATTTACATTCTGGGGAATGAACGAACGAACACAGGCACATATGTTCTGTTTGGTGGCATAATTTATGGCCAGAGTCGAGAGCGATCAAAAATAAAATGATTATTTTCAGAAGGAAGCAACAGAAATAATAAAATCGAAGCGCTACGCAAATTATAAACAAACGTCAACGAAGAGTCAGCTACCGAAACATCAACAAGCTACGTAAGCAAATGAATCAGCTAAAGGAAGCGATTCTATACTATCCTGGAAGGTATTTTTTTAAAAACAAAAAATAAACTATTATAAGATACATTTTTATTCTAACTTTTTGAAGTATTCTTAGTCATCTCTATACCTTGGAATATCCTCAAGTCCAATATACCCCAAAATATCCATTATTTGTTTAGGGACCCACAGCCTGATTGCAGTGATGTCTTTTGATCTTTTTGCTCTGCATGGTTCTGTTGCATCTCCCAGATACTCGGATACTCAAACACACACACTCACAGTCAGGTGAGTGTACTTGTGCAGTGTGTGTGGCCTGTCAGCAACAGAGAAAAGTGAAGGATGGCCACCGAATTGGCAAACGGAATCCAAATCGGAAGCTATGGCTGTATGAACTGAAATCGAAATGAAGGCAAGCCACTGCCAGAGGAAATCTCAACCGAAATGAAGAATTGTGAATTGAAATTTGGCATTCAGTTCGTCCATTAGCTTTTCACACAATCGCTGACGCACTTCGCACCCATTTTAGACACTCGCTTGCCATTCAACTTTCGCCTTAAAAAAATTGTATCAAGAGTTAGTACAAGAGATGAAGGTGGTGGTAAAGTAACTAATATATTAGTTTAAGCTTTAAAGTCTAAATTGATTGAGCAAATACGAAAAAAATTATAAAGAAATTGATGTAAGTTCTGAAAATAGTTTAAAGCCCTATGTGTACCACCTATGAAACTTGTACTTTCCTTCGATATTTTCACCTTAATTTTCATAGTCGTTATATATGCAAATTGTGTTGTATGATCAAAAATACATGAACATGCGTTGGGTGGGCTTGGGTCTGGGTCTGGTCCTCAGTTCGAGTTCGGTCGGTTGTGGCGTGTAATGCCGCCATGAAAATCGTCCATTACAACAATTTCATTTCATTTCGCCGCCTTTGTGGGCTTACGTAAGCAGCACGAAAACGACCAAAGAAAATACCAACAACTAAGTACAACAAAAGTAGCAACATTGCAGTTGCCACCACACAGTGCACATGGTGCATTATAGAGATGGAAAGTCATGTTTTCCGCAAAAGCTTTTCCTCTTTGAGTGGAAAATAAAATTTATTTGTTCCAAGGATAAAATACATTTTAAGAAAATGTGTGAAAGGGAAGCTTTTCAATCTAATAGATCTAATAGGTAACCCTATTTTGTAGATACAACCCATCTCTAGGGCCATCAGTGGATGGGGCTTAGTACGGGTGTAGAGGCAAACGACATTTGTGCCACCTTTTTCCCTGCAATTACTCGGCCAACAGCTAACTGCAAAGAGTACTAGAAAATTATACAAAAAAAAAAAAAAAAAAAAAGAGGGGAAAAAAATAAATAGCAAACGACAGCAGCAACAAAAGCTAAGCGAAAATCGCGCCAGACAAACTGTCGGCACCGTGAGATTTTTATGCCCGCTGCGGTCGGACTGGCGTAGTCATGGGCGTAGCAAAACGGGGTTCCGCCAATGCCACTCGTCCGCAAAATCACTATGCAAATATTTAATTTTTCGCCAAGAACTCGGAAAACATTTTAGTCACTAATTACTTTACCTGGTTCCTCAGGACACCCATGCTTTTTTTTCAAAATGACGGTCAGAGTGATTTCATAAATGCAGAGACAATAACTTAAAGTTTAGACTTGACACGGACACCTAAACACTCTAGGGTTAAATATTAAATGTACATCTAAAATAACCTTAAAAATAAATTATTAAAAAAATATTATCATTATCGTGTGATTTTTTTCCACTGGGTACTTCCACTTTTGATAGCTTTTTCAAACAAAAAATGTGAAAAATGTCACATAGAGATATAAAAACTAGATACTGTTAAAATATTGCATGTGATTAGTTGCTGGTTAAGGGCATTCATTATTTGGCTTTTCAGATGGGTGCCCCCCCTCCCATTCCGAATGAGGAGCGGTTTTATTGTGATCGGACCCAGATCTGGGTAATTGCAGGCCCAGATCGTGGCACTTTTCACATGGCATGATTGATGATTAGTCATCGACCGGTTTTCTACATTGTCGATCGCCCAGCAACAGCAAAGCTCCACAAAAGCAATACAGCACGCGAGCAAAAGTTGTTGAAGGTTCAGCGGATAGTTAGTTACCAGAAAGTACTGTTAGTCATTGCGAACATCGATTTCCCCACTTTAACAATTACATACATATGTATATGTAAGTTAGTTAATTGCCAATTGCTATCACCTTAGGTAATGTGTTTTTTTTTTTTTTAATAACTTTGTCTTTGGAGTCTCGAGAAATCACTTTTAAAAAAGTATTCTCGAGGGACTTGGAGGCGCCCACGTCACTGCAATTAGTGGAGCGTCAGTGGCGGCTTCCAGGTAATTTTCTTTCATTTTTCCATATTTCTGTCCAATAGTTGCCGCCACACGTGTCGCCAGGCCGCCTTCCGTTGCACGTCACGATTAAGTGGTGACGACATAAAGGAACGTGCTCTTTTTACAAAAAAAAAAAGAATACCCGACCTACGTGGCCTTCATGTCCACGTGTGACTTTAAAGGTATTTCAAATGAGTTATTTAAAATATTAAATAAATTATTTCACAGCCAATAGGTAGATCTGTGTTTAAATAAACTTGTCTCTAATTGCTGGGCAAACTTGGCGTCTCGATCTGTTCAAGTGCAATGGACCCACCCATGCCGCATGCCTCTGTGTTTTTTTTTTTTCGTCAATTTAAGACCAAATTCCTCAGACTCCATGCTTGATCAAATAATATAACAGCTGGTCGCGTGTGCTAATTGAAATTTAACAGCTTGTCAACGATCAGTGCCTCAGGGGGTTCATAACCTTCCGAAAAATACAAATAAATTTAAGAAAAACACAATACCACAATGAACCAAGCAAAGAGACTAACAAAAGTTAGACGTGCTCTAATAGAAATGCAAAAATATTACTCGCCACTAGAAGGACATGATGGCTAGAGGTCTCGTCCTGCCTGCGAAATGAACACTCAACTTCCGGTCCTGACTGCGAGGGCTGGCTGGATGTTCCCGGTAATAGGACATTGTTGTCCCTTTTCTGAATGGATTTCAGCTGTTCAGTCAGCGCAAGTGGTGCTCCGATATTCTGATCTCGTGCTGAAAGGATTGATTCAGCAAAATACATATGTATGTTATTCAGTTTCAGACTTCAGCTGTTTTCTCGTCCTTATGTTCCTCATGATCCTGATGCTCCTGATGGCAGCTGATATTTTCAATCGACCGACCATTTGTTTCCCCAAAAACGCACGTGACTCTTCCCAAATTGTGTCCAGAGATCGGAAGTACCCCAGTGATTTTTAAATGGAATTTTAAGAAAGATAACAGCAGATATTACTTTGGAAAGAAACTATTTTCTTATTAATTTTAAGAAATGCATTACATTGAAAAATATTAAAATGAAGAGAGCCTTAAACTAAAACCTGCAGCAGACATCCTACTCACTGCCACTCCAGCGCCTTGCGATGGCAGGACGCCTCCATCGGACGGAGTTCAGGGTCTCGCCCAGGATGTAGTAAAGGAAGCCCAAGGTAATCACCAGGAGGAAGAACATCAGCCGGAGCGGCCAGCTGAGAGCGCCGAGGAATGGATACACCCAGATGCTGGTCCTGAACCACAGGATGTGCACCCAGATGAGGTAGCCGGCCATGAAGGTGGCCAGTCCGCCGAAACCCTGACTCCGACTGGGATACCTGTGGCGGGTGAAGCCCAATTCCAGCATCGCGTAGACAACCACGAAGGTGTGCATGGCGTGGTTCAGCCACCTGGGGTACACCAGATCCAGAATACCCGGGTAGATGGCCTCCCGATCGATGGCGTACAGGGTCCAGAAGGTCAGGCTGACTGTGAGGGACAGCGGCACCACAAAGCTAGCCAGGATGTAGTCCCTCAGAGGCCGCAGTGTCCGGTTCCGGGTGATGTCAAAGGTCAGTGCCAGCGAGTAATAGCCCAGCTGCATCAGGCCGCCCAGGAAGGTCATGTACTTGAACTTGCCACCGATGGGCGGCTCCAGCCGCAGGTCGACCGCCAGTTGGGGCAGCTGGGCGTATCGGTAGTCGTAGTAGATGGCATAGCCCAGGTGGGCAGTGGCGGCAAAGTGCAGCAGGAGGCGTGCCAACTGAGCACCACCCGCCCAGTTTCGTAGTTCCATTTCCGGGTGATATCCATAGACTGGACACTGAGACGCCGCCGAAAGGCATCGCCAATTGATCTCGGACATGGTTTAAATTAGGATTTCATATTAATTCGTTTCACTAAATATGCACTTAGAGAAAAATCATCTATATTAATACTCTTAAATTAAAATTTCATCATCAAATAATTTAAAATTACAAAACACCCGAGGCAAGGCCACCACCCCCAATGGTAATGATTCAAAAATATTGAAGGTACATTGATAGAGTGCAGATGCTCCTCCCGCCCCTCGGATGGATGACCCATAAAAAACAAATAGTCGAGTTTGGTTGTGAATTCAATTTTATTGTTTTGTAAACATTTAAGCTGGAATGGCGAAAAAAAAGAAAGAAATACTTCGAGGGTGCGAACAGCTTGCGAACAGCTGATGTGTCTGATTAGCCGGCAAGTCGGCGGACCGGCGGGCCGACGCGGCGGTCACTGCTCACATTTCACAGCCAGATGTCGGCGGAGGTCGGAGAAGGTCAAACAACCGCAGGCCATCAAGTAGGAGTGGGCACTGTAAATATTTGTTTGTTTCCTTTGGCGGCATTGCAGATCTTCTATTCGATAATTAGTCAGGCCCATCACCACCATATGTCCGTTCACTCTGCACAGGCCATAATGAAATTTTTGGGAAAAGGTTCGTCCAGAGTAATTAACCATTGATTACTTGATATCGGAACTTCGGAAATAAACGTTGTTTGCTTTAGGGAACTGATACAATTTCATACAAAAAGCAATGCAGGTACGAAGAGTCTTAGTTTAATTTAGAGAGAATATTTTTCAATTCAAAGATACAAAAAAATATTGTAATAGGGGATATCCATATATGAATTCATTTCCTTAGTATAATTTTCCTAAATCGCATCCAATCTAAGAGCGATAACACCTTAATCGCTTTGTGGATCTATCCAGCATCAAAATCTAGAGAAACATATGTATATTTTTTTTTTCTCAAATTTTTGAAAAAACCAGGGATTGACATTATGATCCGAAGTGGATGCCATATTTTTGTCACAAAAATATCTCAGTCGATTTTTGGATCTATTCTGCAACATTCTGAATCAAAATCGAAGAATCTTTATTTCCAGAGGTTTTCTCAAATTTTCTCAATTTAAAAAAACCAAGGGAATTAAATTGTTACCCCCACCCCAACTTCAATAAAATTTTTCAAACCGAATTTTTTATATTTTCCTTAAGAAAACCCCCGCTATAAAACTGATGAACCAAGCCCATTAAAATCTTAAAATAAATTTTTAAAGGTTAACCTAAGTAATAATTTTTTTAAATTACTGTTTAAATATATAATGCTAAAAATATGTATAAATATTTAATGGCTGGCATCGAGTTACTTTGTTTATAATGTTTGCTTTTTTTATAAACTATAAACTATCCTTTTTTTGTGGCTAAAATAATATGCCAACCATAAGTAAGTCGACAGCTGTTTGATTAGCCAGTGTTTACCATAGAAATTCGAGATTCAATGATAAATAGTGGGGAAGCTACTATTTATAAATCCAATTAAAGTCGTCTGCCAAAAGTGATAACCAGTGGACTTGAAACCGAAAGGAGTCGCGAATTATTGACAGGCGTGACGCTGGGCCCGGCAAACGATTTGCAAAACATATTCACGTATATATGTGGCCCGATGTTGGTCTATATAATTATGATGGTGGTAGGCTCAGACTAATTGGAGCAATGTTGTTAATTTTTTATAGACGTTGTCGGACACGTTTCGCCACGGTTTTTGCAACAGACTTCTCTCTTCAAATAAATCTGGCCAATATTGGGGTTCGAAATTCACGCCACTTTTAACATATCCAAGCAAGAATGTAATATTTGACAATCAAACATATCAATCTCAGTTGAGACCTAAGGGTGAGGGTGAGTGAGATTTTCATTTCGAGTGGTAATATCGTTTGAATTTGTCTCAAGAGCAGGAAAGAGCTTGGAAAGAGAGAAAAATAAGGGTTTGAGTGAGCGGATATAAAGGAAAAAGTGCTCAAGAGACTCCAGACTTGAGTTTTTATTCTCTTTGAGTAAAAAAATTCTTATTAGTTTGTGAGGAAACAAGTACAATATTATTACTTGCTATATTTAATTTGAGAGATATCGCAAAGTCATTAATACGGCCTTTAATATTCTGTTTCGAAGGCTTTATCCAAAATTCGTAGTAAGCCAATTCAAAATTCTGAAAGCATTTCGGAATCCTTTTGAAGGATTAAAGGTGGTGACGACATCCCCCCCTTGAAAAAACTATGCCACACTTACGAACATTTTCCCAAAAAGCTGCTTTCTCTATAACTTACGACCTGCCGGTAAAGATGGTAAAATCTAGGACCAAACTTTTCTTGCCACCTCCCCAGGCGCCCCATTTCCATGCCCCTTTCCCCTGGCGTACACACCCCTTTTTTGTGCGCCACACTTTGGCCAAGAATTTTCTCTAATGACTTAAACGCGGTAACCACTAAAACATTTACAGCCCCAGCTCCCGGCATTAGTATTCCTGTTCCCGTTGTTGTTCACCTCTCGCCACATCTCCGCCGGAGGAGTAAAGTAAAAGTAAAGGTAAAAGCCGTAACGCCCCGAAAAACATCTTTAGCAACACCCCCCCTTCAGGTCGCAACTTCCCCAGGTCTCTACAAATCCCCCCCTTTATGGTATTCGCCGCAGCACTTGTGGCTAAAGAGGCGCATTTTTGCGCAAATTTTCCTCGAAACCGCAAGTAGAAAACTCATTAAGCGAAAAGCATTCGAAAGGATTGCCCTGGCAACAGAAGTTTTAGTTACTTTATATCCTGTATTGCTTTTTGCGAGTTATCGGGGATGCTCCTCATGTGTATGTAGAGCACAGGACAATTATGAAAGTTTCGTTGAAACTTTAAAGTGAAAAGTAATAAGGATAATATTATATATTTGGTTAATGAGGGTGTTTTGAAATTTGAGTATTAATTGAAGTTGTAATAACGGAGCTATAAAGATTAAAATGTATAGAAACTTGTCTTAAAATCTCTTAAGCCTCTGGATAATATTTGAATTTTGAAGAAAGGTTTAGGAGTCCATTCCATTGTTTAGCACGCACCGGCCATTCAATATTCAAATCAAAGTCAAAAGCCGCCAACTGAATGTTAAGGATGCCATCAATACACATGCGTCAATTTACTTATGCACACAATTCTCGAATTTGCATGGGTGTATGTGTGTGTGTGTAACTACAAAGTGATGTCCTGACTGCGGAATTAGGCGACATGTGTGCAGTTTTTGGGACACACACACAGAGAATCAGGGCAGAAACAGGAAGTGGAATCGGAACGTAAAAATCGAATTTCAAATATTTCAGACCGGAATTTAAACATGCAAACTCGAATGGCAAAAAAAAAAAAATGCAAAAAATACGCAAAAAAAAGGGATAAGTCCAACTTGTATGGAAAATAAGAGAAACAGGAAAAAAGGGGCTTATGGCGGATTTATTTGGCAACGCACGTGTCTCCGTAGTCCCCCAAAATCCCAATGTCTGGATGGCCCATGCCATTTCGAACTCTCACCCACTCCCACACATACCCACCTCCGATCAAAAACCAAAAACCCCGAACACACAAACTGAAAAACAAACACTGAGGCACGCAATCCAAATATTACCGTGAGCACTCTCAACTCAAAAGATACAAATTTGCAAAATACACACACATCCTGCAGCGAGGACCTGTTCTGTTATTGGAATGAGGTCTTCAGGTCCTGTTTCTTTTTGTGTTAAGGGCAGATTGAAATCCGGTTAACAGGACTAGCCAATCATTGGACCATCGTCAGCTGCCTGGAATTTATAAATCTTGCCAATATCTTGCCAAAAAAAATAGACTTAATAATGAAGTTTAATCACATTTGTTAGTTCTTTGAACCACAAAGATATTTATTATTATTTCTGAATAAATAAGGTCATTTTTAGTCGTAGAAATATTACTAATTTTGTTGCTACTTTTTAAGCCAAAATAATTTTCTAGTTCCTCACTGGAAATCCTCCCCTCCACCCAAGGCGCTTTCCAGCGTTAGGACCCAGTCGAAAGCCAGCGGCAGGATGCAGCGCGTAAAGGTCAGCCCAAGGACAAACAGCCAGCTAGATGCACAAAATTCTTAGAATTTCTATTAAAATCGATATTTAGTGCCACATAGAGCAGTGATGCAAAGGACGAAAAGTAAATTAAGTTAAAGAGCCATTTTCAAGCTAGATTTTAGACCCCAAGCTGGATCACAAATTAAACTATCTTTTCTAAAATTAAAAACTATCTTGCAGATATATTAGATATATTTAGTGATCAATTTTTTTTTGGCAACACTGGACTTCAATTTTGGGAAATCGGGCGCGGTACGAGTATTTGCATTAAATTATGCGACGAGTTGCGGAAATGTTTGCCATCAAACGAAAACGGAGGGGAAACTAGGGGGCATGAGGGGCCCCAAAAAGGACGAACAGGAGATGTTACATAAAAAACACACTCACCCAGAGAGAGAGAGAGTGCGGGTGAAGAGGAAGGCACCACCGTTAAGTGCGGCGGAAGCAATTTCACTCTTCAGCACAGGGGAAACCAAAAAAGGAAATAAAAGAAAAGCAGCCACGACATCGCCAAAAAACAAAAAAATAAAAAAAAACGGAAAAAAGAATTTAATAGAAATCCTTCAAACATCTGCGAACCGCTCACTTCACTTTACTTTGCCTTGCAAACACCCTCCCCACACACACACACACCATCACGCACAGAAAGCATCCTTTGAATACCCACACACATGCATAGGTAAGCACGTGTGTGTACTCGCGTTTGTAATTGTTTCCTTTTTTGCTTTATGAGTTTTTCATGTATCGCACAATGTGTCACCATCTCATACTTCAAACATAAACACTATAAAAAATAAATAAATAAATATATATTAAAGCTTACCTTTATTTAGATTGGAGGTTTATAAAAATATATAAATAAATAGGCATATT